GTGTCATGAGTGTCATAGATCCAAGAAGTGAACGGCGAGCGAGGCTCAACCGTCACCCTCGGCCTCCCAGACAGGAGGAGGGGGCCCGCAGGCGCCAGCACCGACGGTCAGGGGAAAGGCAGATACCTCGTCGCTCAGCGACTCGCTGCCCAAACGAGACGGCGTGGTGCGTAGGGGGACATCCGCTTCACCGCGTCACCGCGCAGTACTTCCCGATCGTCACCCCTGCCGGATCGGATGGCATGTGCAACTGGGTTTGTACCCCAGGGTGAGCGGACACAATGTCCCAAGTGACTTACGGACCACATGGCCCCGCCTCTCAACCAAATGCACACTCCCCGTGCCTGGAGGGGGAGGGGGAGGAGGAGGAGGAGAAGGAGGAGAGGGAGGAGGAGGAGGAGGAGGAGGAGAGAGGGACGAGGAGGAGGAGGAGGAGAGGTCGAGGGCACAGGAGGAGTAGGGGAGGATAAGGAAGAGGAGAGGAGGAGGAGGAGAAGGATGAGGAGAGGAGGAGGAGGAGGAGAAGAGGGGGGATCAGGAGGATAGAGGAGGAGGAGCAGAGCAGAGCAGGAACAGGGGGACTTAGAGGGAGGGGAGGAATATGGAGGAGGAGGAGGAGGAGGAGGAGGAGGAGGAGGAGGAGGAGGAGGAGGAGGAGCAAGAGGAGCAAGAGGAGGAGGAGGAGGAGGAGGAGAAGGAGGAGGAGGAGGAGGAGGAGGAGGAGGAGGAGGAGGAGGAGGAGGAGGAGGGAGGAGGAGGGAGGAGGAGGGAGGAGCAGGAGAAGCTGTGCCCCGCCGACTCCCTGTAAGCGGTGTCCTTGGAGAATGGTTCGGAGTACATCATGGGCGTGTAGCAGAGCTGGGTCCCAAACTGCCTGGCGAGCATGCGGAATGGCAGCTCCGAGCCGCCCACCATGGGGGCCAAGACAAACCTGCGCCACTGGAAGACGTCCGCATCCGCAGCCTCCGCCGTCCTACCTCGGGTCCCTGGGGAGAGGCGGGCGTGGACACCCTCCCTAGAGGCCCCCCAAACGGGGTCCGAGTCGACGGGGCGGAAGACCGCCCTGCGTCGCCGAGGCAGTGCCGATCATCGGCGACGCATCGGCGACGTCGATGTGGAGAAAACCAAGCTCCGCACCGAGTCTTGAGTCGGGCGTGTCCCCCTACAGGGGGGTTCTGGACGAAAAATAACAAATACTCAAAACATGCTCAAACTAAGCCCAAAAATACGCAAAAAAGAGTCCCCTGACTTTTTTTTACAATTGTGGATATCCCTCCTGCAGAGGGACAGGCCCGACTGAAACCGAGCCGCACCGCCGATGCGTCGGCGATGCGGCGCGGCCGTCCGCCCCGGTCTGCTCGGACCCCCATTGGGGGAGGCCCGGGCTCCCGCCCCGAAGGGCCCGGCGGACGGCCACGAGCGCCACTCCCCGAGGCCCCGCGGCACGACCGCGAGGCGGCGGGTGCTGGCACGGTCTGCCGGTGGGAAGCCTGTGGGCCGGCAGCCGGTGGCGAGGCGCCAGCTCCTGCAGGGACCATAGGAAAGTGGCAGTGCTGCCTCGAGGTCGCATCTGCCCCCCCAAAAAAACTTGACAGAAGCCTGCGTCGGTGTGGGCCGCGCAGAGCGCACCGAGGGGCAGATCTGGGCCGGATTGGACGAAAATCGCTCTGGGCGGCCCCTGGAAAACGTGAGCCTCCAGATGGGGTCGCTCCCTAGACCCACCTTTGGTTACCCCCCCCTCAATCCAAGCAGTATCAAGGAGGGCTCCACTGGTGGGCTCGCCACCTCGTCGGGGAGAACGACCCCACAGGACTCCCAAGGCTCGCCCAGTCCTCCCAGAACGCTCAAGATCGTCCAAAACCTTTTCGACGAATTGGCCCTCGGACCTCGATTCTCGGGAAGAGCTGGCGACCCCCTCTACGGTGAACCCCCTTGGCACAATCTGATCTGCGAACCCCCGAGATCATGGCGTGTTCGTGTCGTGACGACTTGCGCCATTGGTTTCCTGAGGGGGCAAACGATGACAGAAACATAACATCTCGGTGGTCCGCACGGACCTCCGAGCTTTAACGTTATGTCAGTGTTTGTTCCCCTGTCTCTGGCACCGCATTCCCCGGGACCGGCTTTTCATCCCGAGCCGTTTCTCGACGGCCGAGGCCCGGTAAGGGCCCCCAAGCGCCGAAAATTGAAAACAAAACTCCCGCCGTGCTTTTTCATGACTCGAAGGAATCCGGCACCGTGCGCACCGCTCACGGCTTCTCGATCGCGTGGGATCGCTCGATGTCGGCGGATTTCAGGCCATGGCGAAGTCGAGCACGACGAGCACGACTGCACGCATCGTAGAGAGCATGGCATAGCAGGGCGTAGAAGAGCACGGCAGAGCGTAATATGTCATAGCATGGCGTGGCGTTGCGTCGTAAATAATTGCATCACAAAGCGTTGCAACGCAAATAATGGCATCGCACAGCGGCACAGAACAGAACATGGCGTAGCATGGCGTTGAAGATCAAAGCGTAGGCTGGCGTAGCATGGCGTGGCACTGCGTAGTTAAGCACTGCATATCCTAGCATTGCAGCTGAAGGCATGGCATCACACAGCGGAACACCACATAGCATTGCATTGCATGCCGTGGCATGGCACTGGAAGTAATAATGCCAGCGCTGCAGCGGGAGCACGATTCGGAACGAGCGGAAGCGCGGAAATGAGGCCAGCGCTGCAGCGGGAGCACGATTCGGAACGAGCGGAAGCGCGGAAATGAGGCCAGCGTTGCAGCGGGAGCACGACTCGGAACGAGCGGAAACGCGGAAATGAGGCCAGCGCTACAGCGGGAGCAACATTTTGAAAACAAATCCCAAGCGAAAACCCAGCTCCTGGGAATCCTGTGTTGAAAAAAAGGGTACGCGGAGGGGGGCCGACTATCTTTAAGACGTCATCAGGGGAGAGGGGAGAGTAGTATCCATATGGTGTAGTTGTGTAGGGGGAGGGGGGGAGGGGGGAGGGTTTTTCTTAGTTTTTCGGCCACGCGCTGAGGGGGGGGAGGGGGAGGGGGTCCTTTCTGGTGCTCCCGATGTTCTCCGCGCTCCCAAGCGACCCACACATGCGTGCGAATGAGCAGGCAAGCGGGGCCGCCCAGGGCGCTGGAGCCGCCCAGCCATCCAGCGCAGGGGCAGAGACAAAGGCAAGGCGGTGTTTTTGTTCGTCGTTTTTCGGCCACGCGCCGAGGGAGTGCAGTCCACCCGCATAGCAAAGATGGGCAACCTTCCCAAGGGTACCCTGGCATCCTTGCCGCTTCGGCCCATCATTGGCGACTGTCGCTGGCGAACCTCGCTCGAAAGACGTCCCCATGGGCCTCCAAGGCCCTTGCATCCTGACCGCGCATCCTCATGATACGGGTGGACTGTAGGGGGAGGGGGTCCTTTCTGATGCTCCCGATGTTCGCTGCACTCCCCAGCGACTCACACGTGTGTGCGAGTAGGCAAGCAGGTTTACATGCGCCCCTTGAGCTCCGGTCTAGACCGCTTGGAGGGGAAGGCTTTTTCGAAGCACCCCTGCCTCTCAGAAGGCGCGGGCCTCGTCTGTAGATATGTAGGGCCGGCACCTTATGAGAAGCAGCCTCCTTCCAAGAAGCGTTCCCCCTTCGGCCTGCCCCCTTGTGCGCGCCGCCAAGTTTTCGGACTACCCAGACCCCCTCGGACAGCGAAAAAATCACGCTGGAACCGCCCAGACATCCAACGCGTGGTCAAAGACTTATGATGTCCCGACTTGCTGTAACCTTGACCACCAGAAAGAATTGTGAGCACCAGGAAAGTACCGAACCTTGAGGGTTTTCACGTGTCGGGCCTGGGGACATTCGACCTTTCGCCAGCGTGTCGGGCAGACACTGTTTCGACACCTTCCTGGGTGCTCGAGATCATTTCTGGGAGGTGGTCCTTGAGTACGACGGGAACAAAGTAAGCACAGGCCAAGTCGAAGGTTTGGGCCGTTCTCGGCCTACCCAGACCCCCATGCAGCAGCGAAGGTATCTCGACGGAGCGTTTTTTTTTGCTACTTGGGGCCCCCGGGGGCCCTCGCCAGGCCCCGGCGCCGTCGGAGAGCGGCTCGGGATGAAAGCCCGGTCCCGCGGCATCGGGGGCCTGGGCATGGGGGCCCTCGCTGCGTGATCTTTTCGGTCCCCGTGCTTTTCCTCGGTTTCGGCCTCCAGGGGCTCTTACTCGGGTCCTGCAGCCCTCGTCGAAATAGAACGCAAGTTTTTTCCACCCAAATTTCAACGTTCATCGACAGGCGCATCGCGGCCGGCGGGGTCCGAAGAAAATCTCGAAGTCGCCGGCGTCGGCGTGAACATTGAAATTGGGGGTCGGGGGGCGCCGCCAGGTCGCGGCTGAAACTTGCGTTCAATTTCGACGAGGGATGTGGGACGACCCAAAAGATCGGCCCTGGGCGAGAAATTTGACCCCGGGAAGAGGTCGGGAGCTCTGGGGGCGCGCACGGAGGGCATCGTGCTGTCGGATGC